GTTGTTTCAGTGACGCATTGTGACATGAACCTTTTGCTTTTTCTTTCTTTTTCCTGCCGCTACAGTAACAACGTTGTCCTTGAAACGGGTGACAAATACAGCTTGAACGAGGATGGTTCTGAATTGCTAATAAAGGATGTCAAGAAGGTGGATGAAGGAGATTACACTTGCATCGCCAAAAACAAGGCGGGAAGGAAAACAGAAGAAGTCAGCCTGAACGTGTTCAGTAAGAGAATATCTCCATTCGTCTTTCTGCTGGCTTTAAATCGTTTTTTGTTGTTTTCCTTTCCTTTCTGGCCTTCTCTGTCACACTCATTGACATTTGCTGCACATTCCTTTATAGCTTGTCCTGTTGCTAGATGTGGAAGCACACAGAGGTTGTTAGAGAGATAGGAACGGTGCAGGAATACACAATACATTATATGAAAATGAAAAATGGTAATCTACAAATTCAGGAATAATTTGAACAACTATTTATAATCTGAAACAATTATCTGGGAAAAAACATATCGGCATCTGCTGAATCTTTAAGGTTTTTTGGATAGAATTGTGATTTTTCTACCCGTCGTTTTATGAACGGCTATAAATTTGTTTTTGTGTCTTCCCATGGAGACAAAAACTGAAAGAAATGAACAAAATTAAGTGTGTTGTTGATCAAGAAGCTTGGGATCATGTCAACAGACATACACCAGTGATTATTTCCTAATAAGTTTGTTGTGTGAGTGAAAGTTAAAACAACATATAAATTAAACAGGTTGTTGGTGCTTTAAAGCTGGGGTCCATTGAGTGACATCCTCAAGGAGAGGTGGAGGAGATTATGAAACGGACACACCTGATTCTGTTAAACTGTTGAAACGGTTAAATCATTCCTTGCGGAAGACTCATTTTAAACAAAATTGAGCAGGGAAACCTCTAAAACAGGCAGGAAACTGGATTCTTGCTAACGTTACAACAGGCTAAAACAATAGCCCGATGTAGCGTAAGGTTGAACACTACATTTACCAACACACTAACAATAAATCCCTTGTTCCCCACCCTCCTGTTCCTGTTAGCTTGAAGTTTACAGCCCTTAAGAACCCATGGTGTCTCCTCCCATTTCATGTATTTGCAAAATAGCTTCTTGAGTCATATATTCAAGTTTGACAACCCCAAGTGACATTCTATCCTTTTTTTTATTATATTTAAAATTTTGATGTATTTTTTAGGCCCGGAAGCGCGGCCAAGGCCTATTGTATCTGCTCTGTTTATATTTCTTCCGCCAAGTAAATTGGCATTTTGGAGGCCTTAACATACCGGAAAACTCAGAAATTTTTGCAAATTTTGTAAAACTTTGTATTTTAAAGGTCACAAAAAAATCGTAATTAAACTAGCTCCACAGCGCCCCCTAGAATGTGAAAAATACCCCCCTCCATAAACCTTAGTTTGTCGTACAGTTATGAAATTTTGTACACTTGTAGTACTCAACAGTCCGCACAGAAAAGCCTCTTTCAACTATGGTCAACATCAAACAAGAAGTCGGCCATTTTGGTTTGAAGTGGTGATTCTGACCCCGTTTTGGCCGTTTCTACGGTCCGCTTCTGATTGATTTACTCGATCATTTTTTGCACGATCGTCTCAAAATTTGTGGGAAATTGCTCAGAAGGAAAGGGCGATCAAATAGAAGAAATAAAACTGATTTTTCGTATATGCTGAGGGGGCGTGGCCTGGCCTCGAATTTCGACTACTCGCCAAAAAATATAAATGGCTATAACTTCATACTTGAATAGAGTAAAGTTACAAAAATTTCTTTGGTCATTCAACATCCAGCCACAAACTAAATTGAATGGTCGGATGATGACATCACACAAGCCCCGCCCCCTCAGGACCAAAAAGGTCAAGTTTTACTGTGATAGGTCCCAAATGGCCCCATTTCACTTTGTAGCTGGTAACTCAAGACAAGTGGGTGTTTTTTGGCGTCACTTTATGGGAGTTTTCAAAAGAGGGCGGGGCTGTGGCGGCACGGCAAAGTCAGGCATACCGCTGTGGCCATACATTTGCCTCCCATTTTGGCATTTCTAAAGATATCGCTACGAAACTTCTGGTGAGTGATCCTAGTCCGGCCCCCCAAAAAATCTGATGTGAAAATCCAGTGGGCGTGGCCTATTTTCTTAAATAGCACCCCCTAAGACCATTAAAATTGTCAGCCCCAAGCCATGCTTTGACTGAGGATTACAACATTTGGTACACTAATGTGGTGTCTCAGGACCTACAAAAAAGTCTCTTGGAGCCAAGCGCAAGTCGCACAGGAAGTCAGCCATTTTGGTCCAAGTACTTGATTTAGTGGTTTTTTCACACATTTTTTGGAGAATGATGCCCCGTCGCCCTTTTCACTGATCACCTTCAAACTTCTGCTATATACTCTTAATCTATAGGGGGAAAAATGTAACCGTTGGATTTTTCAAAAGTTGAAAGGTGTGGGCGTGGCTAAGCCTCAAACTTTGACTTGTCGCCACGCCACTCTTTTTTCACAGATCCCTATTGGACTCCTTTCACCAAATCACCAGCAGTCTCTGGCAAATAGCAATAGACAAGTTGAGGTAACTTGGTGTCCAGTATAGGCAGGTTTCAAAAAAAGGCGGGGCTTTGGGAGCATGGCAAAATTCGCCATCATGCCATGTAAATATGTTTGCCTCTCATTTCCTCAGTTATCATGACATTGCCATGAAATCTCTGGTGAGTGATCCCAGTCGGACCACCAATACAAATGGACATGATAGGTTTGTGGGCGTGGCCTATTTTCAGAAATAGCGCCCCCTAGGACCATTAAAACTGTCAGCCCCAAGCCATGCTTTGACTGAGGATTACGAAATTTTATACACTAATGTAGTGCCTTGGGAACTACAAAAAAGTCTCATGGAGCCATGAGCAAAGTCGCACAGGAGGTCAGCCATTTTGGTCCAAGTACTCAATTTAGTGGTTTTCGCACACGTAGTTTGGAGAGTGATGCCCCATCGCCCTTTTCACTAATCGCCTTCACACTTCTGCTATATATTCTTAAGACATAGGGGGGAAAATTTAACCGTTGGATTTTTCAAAAGTTGAAAGGTGTGGGCGTGGCTAAGCCTCAAACTTTGACCTTTCGCCATTACATTACTTGACGTAATAACTCCCATATGCATGATCAAAATGGCCTGTAAATGGCCTGTATTTGATATAGCGCCTTCTAGAATCCTGGAACCCCCAAGGCACTTTACAACACAATCAGTCATTCACCCATTCACACACATTCACACACTGGTGGGGATGAGCTACACTGTAGCCACAGCTGCCCTGGGGCGCACTGACAGAGGCGAGGCTACTGAGCACTGGCGCCACCGTTCCCTCCGACCACCAGCAGCAGGCAACGTGGGTTAAGTGTCTTGCCCAAGGACACAACGACAGCGACAGACTGAGTGGGGCTCGAACCTGCAACCTTACGATTATGGGGCGAGCACTTAACTCCTGTGCCACCATCGCCCACAGGATGGTATGGATCAGATCCATATCAAACTTTATCTGTGTGATCACTGACCACATCTCAAGACAATGACAATGTAGACAGCTGACATCACCTAAGCCCTGCCCCCTGACAACAGGAAGTCTATTGTTTTATGGTGAAATGCCCATATTTGTACCCTCTATTTTAGTCAACATGACACTAAGGTCATGCACTGTCTTCATGATGTTGTAATGACCATTCAGTTCTGATAGCTTTCCAGAAAGGGAGGGGCTTTGATGCCATGGCGAATTCTGGCTTGACGCTGTGACCTTATGTTTGACTGTAACTTCCGCAAACAGCCTCCAATCTACACGAGACTGAACAATCACGCCCTTTAGCCAATGAGGCACAAACGGTTGGTGAACGTTGTATAATATCACCACAGCGCCCCCTACATTCCTTTAAAACTGTAAAAACTCGTACAGACGAGGTCACAACTGCACCAAACTTGCTATGTGTCATCACACAAAGGCACCCAACACAATCCTGTGGTCATTGGTTGATATCGCTTTAGCTCCGCCCCCTGACAGATATTAGGCCCTGGATAACACATGCATGATGCAATTCACACCAAACTGCACACAAATGACTGTTATCAACCTACAAACTTCTTCATGGAATATTTCCTAAATTTGGGACAGCGCCCCCTAGATACAATAAAACATTTGTAACTTCTGCAAAAAAGCTCCAAACTATATCAAACATGGTGGGAGTCACCACACAACTGCAATCAACACATGTATGTGCTCACTCATTCAAATCACTTTAACTCCGCCCACTTACAATCTGTTGGCTCTAGATGACCCATGCAACGTTTGATTGATGCCAAATTAACAGAAAACCATCTTTGATGACCAAAGATGACCTCTATGGGATTTAGTTGTAAATGGTCACAGCGCCCTCTAGATGGGTTCAAACTTTATTAACTTCTAAAAACAAGGTCAGAATGGTATTATACTTGGCTTGTGTCATCACGTGACTGCACCAAACACAATGATAAGGCTGTTGGTTCTAATCCCTTTAGCTCCACCCCCTTTCAGCTCTTTGGCTCTAGAAAGCACACGCAACATCTGATTGATGCCAAACTACACCAAAGCCATCTCTGACTCCCTAAGAGGACCTCAATGGGATTTTTACGTAAATGGTCACAGCGCCCCCTAGATAAGATTAAGCGTTAATTACTTCCTAATACAAGGTCACAATGGCATTAAACTTGGCTTGTGTCATCACGTGAATGCACCAAACACATTGATGTGGTTGTTGGTTCAAACCCCGGTAGCTCCACCCCTTTTCGGCACTCTGGCTCTAGATAACACACACGTCTGATTGATGCCAAAATAACAGAAAACCATCTTTGTCAACCAAAGCTGACCTCAATGGGATTGTTCTGTAGTTGGTCACAGCGCCCCCTAGATAACTTTAACCTTCAATGACTTAAAAAAACACGGTCAGAATAGCATTAAAGTTGGTCTGTGTCATCACACAACCAGTGTGGTAAAGATAGAGTATCCCCTAGTGGTTAGATATGTAATTTAATGGTGGGCTCAGAAAAGATGCTGAGTCAGGGTGAGGTGGAGACGAGGAGACCATTCGCGGTTTCTGGTGGCGGGGTGGTCGATGTTTATGTTCAGCGGACGTGCCCGGGTGCACCACACTGCCAGCCAGGCCGGAGCGGCGCGGCGCGGAGCTGCGGGGGCCGAACGACGCTGCTTGCAGCTTTAATTCCAATTTATTTTAGATTTTAAAATTATTTGGATGCAGGTCAAGTTAGCATTCAAGCTAGCTCCATATTAGCCTATGGTACATGTAGCATACAACAATTATCTGAACTGATATTTATTTTATTTAAATACAATTTTCTTTACAATCCTCTAAAATACGATACATTGCTAGTATTTAGCTGTTCAGAATAAACTCTTGTCAACTCTTCATCAAATCTGAGCCCTTTCTCAAAGCTCCTCCATCTTTTAAACGCCTCTCCAATCCAAATTCTACTTTACTTGCCTCATGGCGAGTGAAACAGTTTAAATTTTATTTAAAAAGTAGAATCCAGGAATCAGTAATTTCTTTTTTTGTTTTGGTTGCTCCATTGCAAACCTCCATCACCCTGTAGTGGATGCTTGGCACCAGGGTGTGTTCTCGTTGATTGACAGCTCCCTCTTGTGGATATGCAAATCTATTGGTCAATGGATTACAGAAATGGTTCATTTTGCCATAGAGGCCAGGGGAGGGACCCTACCTACAATGCATCATAAAACAGGATCAGATAGTCAAATTTAAGGATTTTTAATGTAAAATGTTTAAATAATGTACCCCAGCTGTAAAGGTATCAAGTACATTTCTTGCAAGTTTCAGTTGCATGTCAAATCAATCATCTTGGCTCTATCCAGGCTAATCTGTTGTTTTATGTTTGTAGTGATACCCAACATTACCTACTTCAACAACAAGACCGCCTCAGAGTTCGATGAGGAAGTCACGCTGACCTGTGAGGCCTCGGGCGATCCCACACCCACCATCTCCTGGAGGTTTGGAAACAGGGTTTTCACAGAAGGAGAACAGGTAAAGCCCGATTTTTAGACCTGAGTTCTTATGTGAAAGCACTCAGGATTAAAATCCAATCGTTACATACAGAAATAGTTTTGGGCAAAATAGGACTGCAAAACTAAATATAACACAAAAACCGATGATTGAAGGAACATTTTCAGAGATTTGTTCATTAAAATCTTCCCCTAACTGATGTTTTATACAACAACTTCTATGCTTAAATTCTGATACTGAATGAAAACATTTTAGAATAAAACTTAGATGTACTTAATCCCACGTCTGGAGTCTACAGCCTTTCTAAACTTTTACAATTTTCTCAAGAAGACCTTTAATTTTGTGTTTCAGGGTTTTTATTTTAAATGCCTAATATTAGGTCTGTTTGCTCTGTATTCATTTTAGAACAATAAGATAACATTTTGTCCAAATGCTGCAGAAAGTGCCAGTTAAATATTCACAGGAAAATTAAGTGCAAATGAGCTGAAAAGTGGGAATAATTACGATTATTACGGAGTCGGACCGTTTTTAGCTGCTGCATTAAAAACACACGGGACTTGTTTTTAAAATGGTGAATGGCCTGTATTTGATATAGCACCTTCTAGAGTCCTGGAACCCCCCAAGGCGCTTTACAACACAATCAGTCATTCACCCATTCACACACTGGTGGGGATGAGCTACAATATAGCCACAGCTGCCATATATATGTGTGTTGAGGCGCACTGACAGAGGCGAGGCTGCCGAGCACAGGCGCCACCGGTCCCTCCGACCTCCACCAGCAGGCAAGGTGGGTCAAGTGTCTTGCCCAAGGGCACAACGACAGCGACAGACTGAGCGGGGCTCGAACCTGCAACCTTCCGATAACGGGGCGAGCGCTTAACTCCTGTGCCACCGTCGCCCACAACACACCATTGTGTTAAAGATGAACACATGAATTAGGATTGCGTATAATTGTTATGTTTAGCTGGTTTAGCATGCGTTCTAATTTTACTGTTCGAGCTCCTCGGGGCTGCTCATTTGAAGAGTAAATGAAGGGAAATCAGGAGATGTTAAAAGGTGTTCTGGTGCCGGAGCGTTGGGTGTTGTCTCCAGGCCACCGGTCACAGTGTTCCAGCCAGAAAGGCTCATCCTACCTCTGTTGTTTTGCTTTTATCCGCTCATTAAAACTGTATATTTAAAACATAAGAAATCCCACTCAGGAGTCTGCTCTGTCAACATGTGAGCAGCAAACGGATAAGAAGCTTCAGAGGGGGAATTTCTGCCGTCATTACAGTAAACAACATCAGGATAATTACCTCGCTGCCTCCAGCAGGTCTGAGGATTTAGAAACAACAGCACTGCCGTTATATTCAACAGCATTCTCCTGGTGGTAGAAACCGGTAAGTGCTGTAGATTTTCTGCATAGGAGTTGAAAATGACACGCTCATGAACCGATAGTTGGCCTTGGAACAGTTGCTGCAAACATGATCTGGTTTTTAAAGCCTTTTGTAACCTTCAGCCGTCTCTAAGGCCACTAGATTCAGAAATATTCACAAAACTGTTTTTATTCTGCTTCATCAAACTCAGTTGTGTAAATGATGCCTGATGTGACAGAAGTGCTATTTTTACACTCTAAATGCACTGAAAGCACCTGTCCTGTTGTGTCCCAAAGGACGCCAGGAGGAGCGTTACTAGAAGTTTAGGCTCCACTGGCCTACTTTACTCCAAATGCTGTATCAGCTTCAGTGGCGTGATGGATTACAGCTTCAAGCTGCCATGTGGAGCAAATTTAACATCAGAACCATCACAGAGAGGTCAGCTCCTAACAGGCTGACACAATTTAATTAAAACGGATTTTTTTCTGTAGAAGAAAACATGGATTAATATTTATTTTGCTGCTCTGCTTGTTTTTCTAGTGCACTTCCTTATTTTTCCTCCATAGCGCTCACTAAAGGGGGTCGAGGTTGCGTTTCTTAGTAAGTCGACCTAAACATCATTCAGACGGAGGCCAAGCTCTTTTTTTAAATTATAATTTGTGCAAAATCAAACAAACACAGCCTGAATTCACACCTGGTGCTTTCACACACCAACTCTTTCCTCTGACTGAACTGAATCTTCCTACGAGCACCCAGCCAGAGTAGCACTCACACAACAGAACAGTACCGTGTTTCTAATGTTTAACGAGTGCTGCCGAATGTTAAACTTCAATTTGATTCTTACTTCCAAATGATCTCTGATTAAAACCAGAAGCTGTACTCTGACCTTGGGTGGATGTTGAAATTGAGGAACTTGTAATTATAACCAACTGTTCTTTTAACAAAACCTTCTCGGCTGAGGTTTAGACCACTGGTTTGCAGTTGGTAGTTGCTTCCCTGCTTCTGGACACCTAATTCAGTGGTTGAATGACCAGTTCAGTTACCCATTGGTTCAAAGCTGTTGTATTAGAGCAGGAAAATACTCAGCAGATGCCGAAATTTCAAAATTCATAAACTCAATGTTGGTACATGTCATCTTAAAGCTGTAATGGCAAACAAATTAGCTTTAAACATATTTTTCATGCCTCTTAACAACGTTCTAACAGAGTATAGCTATAGATCTATTGCGTTTGTCTGAAAACCTCTGCCAATAACATGTTTCAGACCGAAAGCAACCATTGGACCAACCGGTTGTCGGTCTTGCTGAACCCCAGGACTTGTGCACTTTCATGAGTCCTCCATTCATTACACACTCATGGATGTAGCAAGAGAACACCACCGGTGTGAGAGGTTCTCCTCTCAGTAGTATCAGAGAAGGAGAAACAGCCGGCTGCTACCACTCCCAAAAAGAAAATCACCATTTCCGAGTACGTGCCCCCGTTCTGGTACTCGGGTGGTCCCTGAAACGTGAAAGGGGTCCTTTTGAGGCAGGCCGGTGAAAAAGAGACACGAGGATGCCACAGAGGTCTGTTAAAATTACGCTGAAGTTCTGATAGTGGAAACAGATTAGGAACAGATGCGTTTGTGGACCGGGGTGTCCTGATGTAGACCCAAAATGACTGTGTGACAACTCTTTTGTTTCACTGGGTAATGTTTACTTTACGTTTTGAGAGCTGGTATTGCTCCAAACCTGGTGGCTGCTGTACTTTGGGTTGCTACAGACTGAGAAGGATGATAAGTGTGGGCAGCACCCAAGTGGGGCTTTGTTTCTCCATTACATTTACATGTTGTCTGTATTTTACAGATCTGTAGTGCGTTACTGTACCATTCCTGGGTTTAAGTTTGTTTTTTTAAATCCCTGATTTTTTTCTTATTAGCTGTGGAACTCATCACCGCCGATGAGTCTGAACGGTCACGGCTGGATTTCTGAATGTTATCTTCCACCTGCACGACAGGCCTCGCCGTGCACATCGCTATTCAGAGCTGTCAACAAATGTCCTCCATTCACAGCCTGTCACCACCACTTTTCCCCCTATCTATCAGTGTCAGAACAATTTCGATTTCGTGTTGCTGCACTCAGAAAAACGTCTGCGATCATTTGGTAATAGTTCTCTAATTTTCCCGGGATTGTCATTCATCACCGGCTCCCTGTTTGCCGCACTCTGCACCCATTTTGCTCCACGTTACACCAGTCAGAGTAGCTGAGCATGCTTGTGATGACGTGCAATGACAGAGCAGTAATTTAACTCAAATTCTGCTGCTTTTTGGAAATACCTGCTTGGTGGTAATTATTTTAAAAGTTCATCAGATGTTTAAACTGAACAGGATGTCAGTGGGAATTTTTCTCATGAAGTTCGTGATGGAGGGACCAATCAAAGCCTGGAACGCTCCCATTAGAAGAAAGTGCTGATCAGGAAGTGCAGCAGTGGTTCACCTATAATTAGTTTCAGTGCCTTGTTTTTCTCAGCATGGCCTATTCTTTATTACAGAACATTAATTAATGACCAGCTGAGAAAGCCTCCTGCTGCGTCAAGGAAATATGCTCCACTTCAGAGTTTTGGTCACTTCTGTTTGTTTGACTCTTTTGCAGCTAAGATTTCCTACTTTAACATAAAAACTTTGAACTTTACTGTGACAAATATTCACGTTACTTCTATGTTTTTAGCCCTTTGATGCATAACGGTCAATACAGTGGACAGGTCCTCAAAATTGTTATTTATTTATTTTATGTTTATGTATTTAGCAGACGCTTTTGTCCAAAGTGACTTACAAGTGATAATCGGCATGTTGCCCTTGAGGCTAACAACAACAATAACAACAACAGCAACTTGACATCAGTCATGGAGAGGAGGGAACAAGGAGTGGACAGTAGAGGGGGGGACGGGTGCAGGGAGGGTGCTAGTTTAGAAGATGCTCTCTGAAGAGCAGGGTCTTCAGGAGTTTCTTGAAAATTGAAAAGAAGCTCCTGTTCTGGTAGTGCTTGGAAGGTCATTCCACATTTGTGGAACGATGCATGAGAAGAGTCTGGATTGTCCTGAGCGTGGTGTAGGCACTGCTAGCCGACCATCCTGTGATGACCGGAGCGGCCGGGCCGAGACGTAAGCCTTTGCAAGAGGATTCAGGTAGATGGGAGCCGTACCGTCTCGGACTTTGTATGCTAGTGTTAGCTATTTGAATTTGATGCATGCTGCTAGCGGTAGCCAGTGGAGCTCAAAGAGCAGAGGAGGGACGTGTGCTCTTTTTGGCTGATTGAAGACCAGACGCACCGCTGCGTTCTGGACCGTTTGAAGAGGTCTCACAGTACAGCCTGGAAGACCAGTTAGAAGGGCGTTGCAGTAGTCGAGGCGGGAGATGACAGTAGATTGCACCAGGAGCTGGGTGGCATGTTGTGTTAGGTATGGTCTGATCTTTCGTATGTTATACAGCGCAAAGCGGCATGAACGAGCAACAGAGGCAACATGATCTTTAAAGGTCAGGTGTTCATCAATCACAACATCCAGATTTCGAACTGCCTTTGAAGGAGTCAGAGATAGGAAGTCATTTTGGATTGAGATACTGTGCTGTATGGATGGTTTTGCTGGGATGACAACTAGTTCAGTTTTAGAGAGGTTGAGTTGGAGATGGTGG